GTTTTGATTGAGATTGGATGATAACAATACCCCCGGTTTTATAAGGGCTTACATCCTGCACAGCCCGCATTTATGAAAACGCAATCTGTTCTAAACATCAATTTGAAACAATATTGTGAAAGCTGCTATTAAAGTAAAGCAGCAAAACTAAATATTGAACATATTATATATATTTCAGTCAGATTTAGATTCATTTTGTCTGGATATAATACAAATAGTTCCCAACTCTTAAAAACTATAACCCTTCAAATCCATATCCATGGAGATTTGCCAATAATGGATTTTTTCTAGACAGTATTGACAAATATTATCAATGATGACCTCAGAAATCAAAGAAAAAGAAAAAAAAAAACCCTGAAAATGTCAATACTAATTTACTTCACATAGGGGGAAAAAAAACCAAAACACCTTTCCATGATCAGATTAGCCCCGACCAAAAGATCAGACAAAACTGTGGCTCCAAAACAGTCATCCCCACTGGATAAGAGGCTTTGGGGTGACCTTTGTAATAGTCTCACCACGATGGAAATAAATGTCCTAATCAAAACACATTCAAAAATAAATTACAGCTGACCCGTGTCAGAAGGACCCTTGCTTATATAATGTTTCTTCAAGCGGCTATCAGGATTGAGCTGAGGAGGACATCGAGGAATTCCAGCCTATGATTGAGTAGATATTATTATTTACAATGAAATGCACAGCATGGTTTCCCACACATATATTCTACACGGGCAGGTGATGTATACCACTGGCTTTGTAATTTACGTCTTTAGTGGATGAATTAGTGGAGGTTCAGTCACTGCTAATTAACTAGTTCTTTTCCTTACTGCGTTTCCTACTGGCGGGCTGTTTAAGCTGCTACTGAAGCAGTCCTTAATGTCATTAAGCTGTCTCAGGTCTCCCAGGATCAGACAGATGCCAACTGCACTATCCTAAACTGGAGTCGGCCAGAATAATCCCTGTTTTACGCCGAGATCCAAAGCTGCACAGCAAAGCAGGGACTATTGTGGCCAGCGGCAGTTCAAACATTCACTGGATGAGGAACTTCTGCTTTCCTCCTCCATTTAGAGGTTGGAATCTTACCAAAGCCAGTATATGTATATCAGCACATATTGAAACCTCAGCCACACTTCTTTAACTCTGTCTCCAGACCACTGAACCTAAGCTGTTCCTCTGTTGCTCATTTGCAATAAACATATGAGTAGCTTCATCTCTGCTCAGCCTCCCGTCTTTTTGTCAGTGCCACAATCTCCTAACTATACATCATAGCAGGTCTCACTACCCCGACACTCATCTCCACCCGTGTACTCTCTTCACCTCTCTCGTGCACTGTTCGTTACTTTGGATAGCTGACACATATTTAAACTCCTCCAACTTCACAGCCTCTACTCCTTGCAACTTCACCTTCCCACCTGTCTTCCTGTCATTCACACACATGTATTCTGTCTTGCCTATACTGACTACACAATAAATTCCCTTTTCAATTTAAAAGCATTGGAGTGCACCCAATACCTACTACTGTCATAAATACTATGCAGCTCTCTGGGAAACACTGCACAGCATGGCTTGCAGTAAACTTGTAGGATTGCTAATCTACAAAAAAAATATCTAACATTTTACAAAATAAAGCAGGGCCCATACGTACAAATACCATACATGCTATCCACCTTGCTCTAATGTCCATACAAGTGCATTTCTCATTATAAGACTGTTGCATAAGAACCTATTGGAAATATTCAACAACCTTGTAATGCTGCACAGAGCAAACACTTCACATTATGCACATAAAACCGCCACTCTCATCAGGGTCTAGGAGGAGGCTTTTTAAGCTCTATACAGGAAATTCCACAACCAAGGTCTTAATATTTCCTGACCAACGATGCTTTGCAGATTTCTCGAATTTATTTCTAATCTAATCAAACACGAACAGCTAAAGGAAGATGCAGGGAAACTTAGAGCATTTTATACTCAGCTATGTAGTGTTACATCAACACACAACAAAAAGGAAAAAAAAGATCATTTGTTCAAGGAAACCATGACAGAGCTCTTGCGCAAAGTGGAGCTCACACACTGCAAATGTGTATGAATAGTTTAAAAGCTGGCTGTTGCCTGGTGATGTGGCTGTAGGAGCTCTATTGATGGGTGACTTGTGTGAAGGCCATGAGAGCAGCTTGTACTCAGTACACTAAGCCAGCACCGTTCATCACACACACACGCACACCCCTCCCTTTCATGAAAAACCCCACCTGCCATCTGGCCCAACAAGGAAGTAACTACGAGAGAGAGAGGTAGCTGACATGTCGTGGTGCTTTGCATCCATGATAAATATTTACATACTAATTTACTGACCATGTGTCATGTTGGAATTGGAGGCCTGCTAAGGCGGAGAGAGGCAGAGAGAAACAGCTCCTGACCGTGACACAGACAGTCAAAACATGGCAGGCAGAGAGGGAATGGGAGCGAAAACAAAGAAATGCTTATAGCAAACAGGAGTGCGCACGGAGAGGGAAACACAGCAGGCGCATGAGCACGCGCAACAGAGAAATCCTTGTCCAAGCCTACTGAGTGGGAGAGGGGTTGAGGCAGGGGTGTTGAGTGGGAGGGAAAGAACCGGTTCATCGCTGCACTCGTGTACACAAGTGCACCGAACGCGCACCGCTCCTCGGGATCTGTGGCTCGCACGTAGAGGAGAAGCTGGCCACTGTTTCCATGTAACACAACAAAGAGAGGAGGCTTTACTGGCTAATCCCTTATTTGAAGTGCCGGAAAATCTGAAACCAAAACATGTTAACTTGCACCAGATTTTAAAAAGGCGACTTGACCGGAGAAGGTCACCACTGGAGCATGTTTACACACAGGAATCCACACTGCGATCAGATTAAGCCAGAAAATCGAATAAGGTTTATCCATGCTAGTTATACAATTTGTCCCAGCACCACAATGTGTGTTTTTTGTTTTTAAACACCTGGAGCGTCAGATTTAAAATGGGTTAGGGTTAACCCCTAACCCTCTAACCCCTATTTAGACGCCCAGAGAATGAACTTGTGTTTAATTTTCACAAACAGCTGAATATGCACTTAGTTAGTTTTAGCTCAAACTGGAGGAATCTAGCTGTGTTCAACAACACATCTGTTAACCTTACAGCTCTCAGGTGCCTGCAAACACAACGACAGACGTGGAAAACATGCAGTCTGTTTGCATCTATTTGTTTACCTCAACTCTCTCGAACATCAAGGGTTATCGTAACGGTCTACATCCATTAAGACAAAACAACGAACAGCTTTAAAAAAGGGGGGGTATTTGCATTTATGAATTTAAGTACTACTAAATATGAACGCAGGCCTCTCTGGATGATATTGTGGGAATGATCTCACATTAGGAAATGTTTGGTTGCCATAGATCCTATGAGTGTGTCTCTGCCTCTGATTATGACAACATCAAAGAAGCCTCATCAGAAAGTCTAATGGAGGAACAGGGCACTTGACCAGGAAGAAAAGACGACAATAGACGCGCTGGATTTGTGCATATGCATCAGCGAACCTCCCGCAGCAGCGTGTGACGAGGGTGAATGAGCTAAGCTTCAGTAACTAGCAGCTTTGAATGTAAAAGCTGTAAACTGTTAGCTAAACCGAGCAAATGAAATGAAAATGACATTTTTCTACATTTTTTCAAAACTACAATGACTAATAAGTGATTTTAAAACAACAACGATCAATGTGTCATGCTACCTCGCTCCAAAGTTAGCAGATGTTTTCAATAACGTCCCTCTGCATTGCTTTGAGACTCAGCCTAGTAACTGAATGCAACACTGCTCGTTAGCTTTGCCAAATTGGATGAACTGAAGCAGTGTTTCTTAAAAATACACTGCTCTAGTTATCGGCATGGCCCGCGTGTGGCTCGGTAAAACAGTGACTCAGTTAATTAGGAAAATTAAGTTTTATACTGTTGTAAACATTCAGCTCTCTTCCATTGTGTCGGTTTGATTTTAAAATCTTGTATCTGTATATTGTTTATTCCTGCAAATGAATAAAACAAACAGTTATTGTAGGTTACTGTGAGCTGCCGTTTGTTTGGAAAAGTGGAATACTTGGAATACACAGTGCGAAACATGCTGGGAAGTGTCTGTAAGTGAATCATCATCTGTTGTTTGTTAAGGTAAATGATGATGAATGAGTCTGTTTCTTCTTATAGTTGTGGGCCGGTTCGAAGGTTTGCATTTTAGATATATGGAGCCTAAACAAGACAAGAGAAAAACTAAAAAGAAAAATGAATGTAGGTCATGATATGCAGGATTTTGTGGAATAAAGAGTATATAAGTGGTGTCCACCCAAGTGTTCCCTCATGGAAAGGCTGTAGTTTGTGAGTCTAGACAAGCAGCTGTGTTTCCTTAATGTTACGTCATTTTTGATCATCAATTAATCAATGATTCCCTTTTAAATTTCTATAAGTGCACAGTGACATCTTTGCATTAGACTATGAATATAAATCCTGAAAGTTT